TACTTGACCGTCTTGTGTTATAAGGTTTTAGTATTGAGTTTGAAAAATATAATTTTGCTTGGCAACAGGTTTATAAGTGTTACAAATACTCGAGAGAAAACTCATCTATAAAAGTAATATTGGTTTGGCTGTAAATTCTATTTGTACATTTTTTTTTTTTTTAACATATTCAAAAGATGACTTAAAGTAACTAAATTACCACAATCTGTATTAATGGCTTCAGTAGAACAATTCCTCACTACACTGTCTTTGTGGCATGACATGCCCTATAAAATATTCAAGAGTAAAAGTGTTTTCTTTGCCATGTCCTATATTTGTGAGATACCTCATAGTAAATGTCTGTCTAATGATTTTAGAATCGAATGTTTTATTTCTGTTTCCACTTCTTCAGAACTTGGGCCAACCTATACAAGCACGTTACCTAGAGTTTGAGGAGAGACCAAAAGCCTTTGATGAGCTTGGCAAACAAATTCAACTTTATATGAAAGTTATTCATGCCTTCAAAAACAAGGTATTGTTTTGGTGTTTTGTGCTTTTTGTTTTTATTTTCATGGGATATTTTACATTCTAGAGAGTTTTTCTTAGTTATTTAACAGCTGGATATAAAGTTTTTACTTTGAAGCAGCTGGGAAGTATGTTGCTAAAATATGATTTTACTTATGGGAGACTCCTGCACCTCTTCAGGCATGTCTGGAGATGAATTAACTGATGTCAGCTTCCATGTGAACTCTGTCCAGCATTTTGCTAAAGGGAAAATGTCACTAGATTATTAACAATGTGCAGTATGTGTGATTTTTGTTTCTCTTCAAACTAAATGTATCTGTACTGCATGTCTAGTGGACAAAACCTGATCTTCATGCACTCTGCAGACAAAACATGTAATCAAAAAACTGTGTTTTCCCCAATCAAGGAGATCCCACCACCATTTCAAATATGCCACAATGTGGATTAAAAATGCATATTTTGTTAAATTTAAATATCTAAATATTATTCACATATCTTATCAATACAAAAGACATACAAAACATTACACTCGGCTAGAGTGTGTATATTGAGTTTAAAATAGGTAGAGTAATCAGTACACCCCTTAAATGAATGTTATTCTTAGAAAAAGAATTCCCAATGAAGATATCTCCAAAGATGAATAAATAAATGAAGGAGCTTGTATATTGGCAACTGATGACTTGAAAGCACTGTGTGCATAAGAAAAGCCTCAACGATCTAGATCAGTCCCTTGTCAAAGAAATATATATGCGCCACTCAGTCATACTGTTGGATCATCAATCCAGACAGAGCTTTCCACTGTTTCACATCCATGAGAAAAAAGGCACTATGGTATAATCAGACTTGGAATGTCTTGACAAAGGAAGCCTGCACTTGTGTAGATCTTGTATTAACGGGTATCCATAGTGAGTGCCAACTCACTATGATCTTGTATTAACGGGTATTTATAGTGAGTGCAAACTATGGATACCCGTTAATACAAGATCTACACAAGTGGAGGCTTCCATTTTGCTGTCGTACTCACTGATTGGAATTGACATGAAGTTTTCCGTTAAACCAGACACTACATTCAAGGATCCAAAAATCATTGAACGTCCTTTGTCAAGACTTTCCAAGTCTGATTATACCATAGTGCCTTTTTTCTCATGGATGTGAAACAGTGGAAAGCTCTGTCTGGAGTGACGATCCAACAGTATGACTGTGAGTGCCGCATATATATTTCTTTGACAAGGACTGATCTATATCATTGAGGCTTTTCTTATGCACACAGTGCTTTCAAGTCATCAGTTGACAATATACGAGCGCCATTTATTTATTCATCTTTGGAGATATCTTCATTGGGAATTCTTTTTCTAAGAATAACATTCATTTAAGGGGTGTACTGATTACCTATTTTAAACTCAATATACACACTCTAGCCGAGTGTAATGTTTTGTATGTCTTTTGTATTGATAAGATATGTGCATAATATTTAGATATTTAACAAATATGCATTTTTAATCCACATTGTGGCACAAATCGAAATGGTGGTGGGATCTCCTTGATTGGGGAAAACACTGTTCTTTGAGTTATTATAGGAGACTCACCACCGGATATTGTATTGTGACATGTTATAATCTATGAACCTTCCTCCCGTTTATATTAATAAAAAAACAAGGTTAAAGTAAAAGGTACTGTTACTGTAGATAAAAATATTTGATTTGGTGCAAAGGTTTCTCAAAACTAATTGGAGGGATTTTTTTTTTTCATATAGATCTATATCCCAAAATGTTGGTGGGGGGGAGAGAGTGTGTTAAAATACTACTTTGTAAAATGGCCTCTGTTCACACCTGTGTGTTCTGCTACTTGTAGTAAAATGCTTGTAGCTCGAAGAAGTACAGGAGCTTCTTTTGGAGCAAAATCAAGCATTTTGGCCCTAAAAAAAAACAAAAAAAAACCCTTAAATGGCAGCATCTGAAGAATAATGCACAAAAACATGCAAATATGTTTTCCATGCTTTATTCGCCTAGTATCTAGCTATGCTTTGCCAGAAGAAAAAAAACCAAACAACTCTGTACAATCAGGCAAATACCCAGAGATACTCAGCTCAAGTGTGAATGGAGCCTTGACCTCCCCTTTGACACGCTGGCCAAAAGTAACAATGTTACTTTGCATCTCTCTCTATTGTGGCTGCAGGCTGCTAGAAACATCTGAGTCTAGCCAGGATGGTGGAGTTGTATGCCTTAGATTCAGATGTAATACTGAAGTCCTTCCTCCAGGGGAAAGTGCTGGAGGATTAGGTAACAAGCCCAGCTGAAGCTAGCTGGCTTGTTACGGCCTCTACAAGTACTCCCAGCCTTCTAAGAAAGGGGCCCCACCCTGGAACCAGTCTGTATGTCTGGCAGACTGGGGAGCAGTTCACCTGTGTGGTGACAAGTACCAGCCTGTGTGGCAAAAAGACAAGTCTGTGTGGCCAGAAGCTTTGGTTAAAGGAACCACCTGAAGTCGGTGACTTGAATATGTTTGACGGAAAACTGTACTTTGTTTGAAAACCCCTGCGTGGGAGAACCTGTGTGGACTTTTTATGTTGGAGTTAATAAAAGTGGGCAAAGAAGCCCTTCAAAAGACATAAGCGAGTGGAAGTGTCCTTTTAATGTGCTACCATTTGACGCTAATTCTCACACTATGAAAAGCGTTTGACAATGTGTCCAACTGTCTGTTGAGAGCAGATTATTTGTACCAGTGCTGTATTTTATACAGCAATTCTTGACTGTCATAGTGGGGAATTCCCAGGAAATGCAATGGAAAGGAGGAGCAGGGGAGAACTGGGCGCATGTTGAATTTTTTTTGGGGGGGGGGGGGAGAGAATGAGGGTTTATGTAGCATGCCCAGAGTCAACAACTGGTTAAATCAATATACAAGCTGTAGAAAATTACAAATCCTTTGGAAGGTTATCCAATAAATGTAACTGTATACCACCATTTTAAACTAGTAAAACAAATCCCCAACGATGTCAGCACACTGAAGCGACAGTGCTTACATACGTATGGGGAAGCATGGCAATGTGGAGGTTTAGAGCTCAACTCCAGATATACATTTTTTTTATTTTGTTTTTGCCTACTTACATTGGCCTCGCTTGTCCCAGTGTAAGAATGCACATGTCGTACCTGATTGGCTGCTGGAGACCTTGTAATGTAGTAGCCAGAGCTGAGCAGCTTTCCCTCTGCTGTGAAAACACACGGTGCCGTTACTCACGCAGCACAGCAGCCATTCAGAGAATGCTTACTTTATCAATGAATACAAGGTGCTCTCTGGTGCGAGGCTGGTGACATCACAATTCACCTTGTCCAATCAGACAATGTATTGTATTCATTGATAAAGATACTAGGTCTTCTTTGATAGACTCCTGTGCCAAGCAAACCTCGTGTTCAGACCAGAAGGGAAGCTGCTCAGCACAGTGCTATACAGGGGGGATTGCTGTCGGCAGTGCAGTAGACCCGGCTACTACATTGCTTTCCAGGATCCCAAGTGGCAAATCAGGCATGGCATGTGTGTGCTTGCATCCTGACAAGCTGGACCAATGCAAGTATGCAAAATGCTTTAACTGTCGTAAGATTCCACCAGGGAAGGTACAGGTTGTATTGCCTGCAATGAAAGTAATACTAAGAATAAGAGAAGACTCCCTTTGAAATGTAATTTGTCCTAAAAAAAACCTGATGTCTTTATTGCAATTTCGATCCTAAGTAATGACTCTTATTGTCAAAAAAAAAAGGTCCATAGTAGAAATGTAAAAATTGCTCTGGTCTGGACACTTTCATTTCCATTGAGCAAGCTGGAGGTGAAAAGGTGACACAGGAAACTGATGAGCCAGTAAGTCTCCTGCTTGACTGTGCCGTGTAGATCTTTGTAAATCTAAAGATTTCCTATGGTTTGTGTGTATACTTTATAATATATGTATGCCCTTTTTTTTTTGCCACATGTCACCCTTTTGCAATATTAGTTAACATCATAAATTAATTTGTTCTAACATCATAAGTTTGCTATTTAAGTTCAAAAGAATTGGATTCATCTTGAGTTTTCCATATAGGAAGAGGCATACGACCACCTTGAGCCTGCTGATGTGGAGAAAGTTGAAAAGTCTATAAATGAAGGCATGGAGTGGATGAACAACAAAATGAATTTACAGATGAAGCAGAATCTTACTGCAGATCCTGTCATCAAAACAAAGGATATCCAAGCTAAAACAAAAGTGAGTTTTGTTTTTAGGAGGTATTTGCCTTTCCTAGAGGTGTCCAAAAGGTTCCAGCTCCCCTAGAGCTTCATGTCATTTACATACCTGTCTCTTTCAGGCATACACATACAGTACATCAAATAATTTTTTCCTATTCATTTGGGGAGAGATCTAGCTTTATTGCTCAGAGAACAGAACAATAAATATTCAAATCTAGTTTTTAGGAACGCTTACAGTTCACTCCTAAGACAATTTTATGCGTGGTGCCTGTTCTAAATCCTGGCTGCCTGTGATCCAAGAGCATGTTGTATACCTGGAACACGTCTGAAGAAAAGATCAATGTGAGGCTATAACCAGGAAGCCTGAGATTTGTTGGCATTCTATTTTAGTACACACCCAGAAACTAGGCTGTCTAGTGTGCATGTTTCTATACTGTTATGTTTACCCTTGCTTTTTGGTTACGATCAGATGACGGATTGCACACACTGGTGCCTATTTTTAAATTCCAAACGATAATAGGCAGCCACAGCTTAAATGCTGCATATAGGGTTTGAGCAAACTGTGTATCGTGTGTTGTGACTGGGCTATTCAGCATTTTCTGGGCACGTGGCACAGGTCAGTGGTGCTTGCTTCTTTTTTGCAGAATTGAGGGATAGTTCACACCATCGGCAGTGCTGCAAGCACCATTTTGAACGCACTGCACGGAACGCACTGCAGGCACAATGTGCCTTGCGGTTGCCGTTCGGGCGATCACATCGTGGCCGCAGGGCGTGGCTACTGTGCCATTCACTTCAAAGGCCCGCCACGCCTGCCCCAGCAAAATAGGGAGCCGGCCGTAATGCAGGCAGTGCTTTCCGGTCCGGAATCAGACCGGAACGCACTGCTGGGGGTGTGAACTAACCCTGAACGATTATTTTTGTTATTGCTAAAAAAAAAAAAGGGGGGAAACCAGCTCCCTTCTCTGCAGGAAATTAACTTTGTCAATGTTTTGAACTTATGTACAGAGTTGAATATTTCAATTGTTCCTTTTTTCAGGAATTGATGAACACATGTAACCCTATAGTCTGCAAACCGAAACCCAAGGTGGAGCCCCCAAAAGAGGAGCAGCAAGCAGGGGAGCAGAATGGACCAGTAGAAAGTAACACAAATGGCCAAGGGCCACCGGCTGCAGAGCAGAGTTCAGATTCAGCTGCCTCTGAAGCAGAGAAGAAACTCCCGGAGATGGACATTGAATAAATTCCATGATCTATTTCTATTCTAAAACAGTATAACAAAGCTTTAAGTTGTTACCTTCATACAGCTCAAAATACCGATCAGAGAAAAGTGATGACTGCAAATTACTTGTAGTTTCTTAGTCAGCCCCTGTATTTCCTGCATTTTTCTACACCCTTTGACATGAATTGTTTTGATTTTGTCTCTTATGATTTTTTATTTTGTTACTTTGCAGCAATTCCTCATTGTTGCAGTTTTAGCGATGGCTGTAACTTGCACATTAACTAGTAGGCTTTTGTCTGGAGTTACGCCAGGTCTGTAGCTTACTTGAGTAGTATTCAAGGTCTACAAATGGCTGAATTGCTTTGGAACAAGCACTTACTCCAACTATAGCAACATCTTTTTGTGTTTCTGAGCAGATTTTGAAATCTTGCTTTTGCATCTATTTCTGTGCACTGCATTTCCGCCCCACTGGCAGCTGGTTAATGGCCGCAAGCTCATCCTTTTGCATGGAAGCCCAGTTGCTTCATGGGGCTAGCAAGAAATAGGAGTGTTTTAAACCCAGCATTAGCCACTGTCTCTGTTTTCCCTAAAGGACTGGATTAGCTTTATCCATGAAATATTCTGTTTTTCCATACTTTGTGTACAGATATAATCAATGTATTTTGAGAAGCAACAATACAACCTATGATGGAGTGCTAATAAATCCAGTGAGGCAACAGTTGACTTTCCACCATATCGGAAAATAAATAAATAATTGAGCTTTTACAGAAGGTAGTTTCTGTTTTGGAAGTCCCAAATACCACACAAGGCCAAGAACCACCCTTTGTAGTACTGTTGAATCTCTAAGAACTCTGTGCACTACCTACCCCATCTTGCCTATAGAAGAGCCTTGTGCAGCTGGGAGTTGATCGTCACTTGATGGGTGCAGGTGAATTAATTTGTACCAAGATGCAATGCAGCTTGTATGTCAATCATCCTTCATGTTATTTTTAACATGGGACAAGTGTTCAGTATTTGTTTTGTGATATTCATTTCTAGTAATGTATTGATCCCAGAAGAAAACTGGATTCTCTTCTCAGCACGTGGTAATTTATGCTGTAATATTATACACAAAGCATCCCAGGCTATTTGGAATACTTGCGTGCACCATTGCAGCATAATTAGGTTTAATGATAGATCATATCCCATAGAAAACATATTTGTATTTTTTTTTTTTATTGTTATAACCAGAACTCTTACACCTACAGCAGTTCCTGTCTGACAATAAACTTGCTGGGTTGCAACATAAGTCTTTCTCTTGTATGTCCCTTTTGTTTAACTTCATACCAACTACCTACCAGCAAAAATCAGTGACTGTTGATGACCTTTATGAATGTTATTGCACATCACTTAGTAGATGTTATACAGAATTATGTGCTGTACTAATGTATCCAGTTTGTCCTGTGGCATCTTCTATAAAAATAAATGCACTGAACGCTTCTCACTGCAATTAAAGTAAAGTGAAAAAAACATTATCATGCATGTCCCTTTTGGATTCCTGGTTTCAGTGTTCCATGAAAAGATTCTACCATGGAAGTTTATCGGTTTTTATCTTGACAGAGTTCTTGTCATCTTATTTGGCTCGGCTAAAACCACTGACCATCAATGGGGAGGTTTTTTTCTTGATGCAGTTGAAAAACATGTTGGTTTTCATTTAGCGTGCATATATTTATTGCAGTAGAGAAGAGAACTAAAGGCAAACTTTTTTTTTTTTTTTTGTAACTTTAGTCCTCTTTTGGGTCATAGGACCCAAAGCAACAAATGCCAGCTATTCACTGACACCTCCGATCCGCCTGGCAGCCAAGAAACATCCCGACAATATCGTCAGGATCCACCCAGCTACCTGATAGACAGCTGGCTCTGCCTCGCCAGAGCCAGCAGTGCCAGTCTCCTCCCATGTCTGTTCCGCCAATGAGTGCTGGAAGAACAGAGGGGAGGAGTAACCTGACAGTCATTGCCCTCTGCAGGGAGAAGACCGTGAGCAGTGTGATCAGCGGTCACATGATCACTCTGCTCTCAATCTGTAGAGCCGGCATGGGACACCTACAATGTCACATGGCGGCTCTCTGTATTGGAAGAGTACATTTTACTCTCCCAATACTTCAAAGCTTTCTCAAGGGCCTAGGGCAGGGGTCAGCAACCTGCGGCTCCGGAGCCGCATGTGGCTCTTTCATCCCTCTGATGCGGCTCCCTGTCCAGGGAGGGAACTACCGACGGGGCCTGAGGCTGTGGGGGGTCCAGTAAGGTCCGGTCCTGGGCCACCCTCCAGTGGAATATGCGGCAGTGCAGGGTGCCGGGGCCCCGCACTTCTGACGGGCTTCTCAGCAAGGGGGCGGATCCTGTGACTCGCCTCCTCTCCCGGGTGCATCCCTAGTAACAGGCGGTGGGAGGGGAGAAGTGTGTGTGTGGCTGGTACCCATGTGAAGGGTCTGGGGGGCCTCTTACATGAGTATCGGCTGTACCAGGGGTGGCATGGCAGAGGTGACGGGAGGGGGTGGAGGAGGCCTGGCCCCAGCAGCAGCAGCACTAGGTAAGAGGAGTTGGGAGGAGGTACAGGGAAAGGGACCCAGGGACCAGCCCACCTGAGGCCCTACAGAGACCACCATAGAGTCTCAGATGGGCTGTGCAGGATCTATGGTGTGCTCTGCAGGGTCACACTCAGGTGGGGTCTCGGTAAGCCCCGAGTCCAGTGCGTTACTAGGCCCACATATACCTATATACATAGCATAAAGGTAAAAAACGATATATGCCGTGTTATCTTCATTTTAGATGTCAAAAGGGTTTTGTGGCTCCCAGTGTTTTCTTTTCTGTGGGAAACGGGTCCAAATGGCTCTTTGAGTGTTTAAGGTTGCTGACCCCTGGCCTAGGGCAATACTAAGACTGTATGCTGCACAGACTTTAAGAAAAAAAGTGTGTAAATGTATGAGTTTAAGTTGGGGTACCTATCGACGTGAAATGGCAGATAATGTGATGGCTGATGAGATTACAATTTCATGTCTAAAAGATACTACTGGACAGCCACTGGAATAGTGTATCAGACAGGTTACAGAATCTGAACTCCTTATTGCCCCATTACAACAAAGCAAAATTTCCAGGTACTGCTCGCCAACTACTCCTAGCCTGCTGCATAGCCACAAACATGAATCGCAACTTCATTAGGGCTTGTTCACGCCATAAAAAGTGCATTCCAGAGTGGTCAGCTGCTGGAACGCACTGTATCGCACCCTGGCTAGATCCTGTGTTTAGGGACGTTCGATTGCACCAGAACACGTGGCACATCAGTGCCTGCGTTCTGGTGCGTCTGAAGAAATGCTGCAAGCACTAATTTTTCAGATTACACTGGACCAGAACGCAGGCACCCCCTCTTGCCCTGATCGCGGGATGCGATAGTACTTTCCAGCAGCTGACGGCTCTGGAAGGCACTGTTTATGGTGTGAACAAGCCATAAAAGTAGTTGGATAATGCTTGGACAACTGAGGTTGTGTAGGAAGCTTTCCACTGACAAGCATACAGTTACATCCACCCCCATCTATTACATATATTGTAGTTTTCAACAAAATCATCTGCCTCTGAATACATGTGGAACACTTTAGAAACACTTTATTTTTAAAAAAATATGCCTAATGGGAGGTTATATCAATAAATGGTCTACCTGTCCCATCATCCTTTACTGCACAGGCTGCTGATACTGAGGTGGGAATGGGGACATGGGATATAATATACTGGTGAGCAAAAGAAGACCGGTACAGTAAAAAGGACTGTGGTGCTGAATTGGGTGTAATGAGGGTGAGTGGTGTCTCCGGGGAGACTGCCGTGTTGAAATGGGTGATAGTTAAAATTCCTGGTGCAATGTGCTGAGCCAGGGAAGGAGTCACAGGAACATTTACCAGCTGAAGATTGGAATCTTTGGTTGTTTCAGACCCTGCAGACTTGGGGATGAGGGGCACAAAGATTTGAAAATACTGAAGGGAATTTATCAAAACTGGAGCAGCTGTGCATGGTAACCAATCAGCATCTTTAGCTGGCCATACACCTTTAAGGTGCCCATACGCTGTACGAAACTCGTACGAGAGTCGCGGGAAATCCTGCGATCGTACGATAATCGTACAGTGTATGGAAGGCGTGCGACCGTTTCTACTGTACAGGCTTGAAAACCCGCCGAGAATCGTACGATTCTGGGCGGCTTAGTGGCCTGCTTGTTTCGACAACTGCCGAATGGGCCGGTGTGCGCACGCGCGCAGTGATCGGAAGCCCACCCCTAAGCGGGGCGGGCTTTTGATGATCGCAAGTACGATCTGCCCGTCCAAGATGGGCAGATCGTGCGAGCTTTTAATAAATAAAAGTCTTGCGATGGTCGTAAGGTGTATGGGCATCTTTACAATTATCTGCAGATTTTCTATGGTCAGATGGAAAAGGTGGAACAGATTCCTCCATCTACACTTAACTGTGTGGATGGAGTAACCTCAACCTGGACCAATCTGTTGCACTCCATCTGACCACAGAAAATCTGCAAATAGTTGTAAGGGGTATGGGCACCTTTTCATTTTCAAATCTTAACTGAAGAGAGAAGCTGATCCAGATTTTGTCTGCTCCAATTTTGATAAATTCCCCTCATTGTATATTGTACCATATACTGTCCTGCATATGTAGGGAGGTACAGTAACATTGTAATGCTGAAAAGGGAGCCAAGACTCAAAAAAAAATAAAAAAAATGTGTAGGTGATTTTACCATTCAATGAATGGTCACACATTTTTCCACCCTTATAATCCTTAATAATATAACTCATAAAGGTGCCCTTACACCTTGCGATTATCGCATGATTTTTGTCCGATAATCGGCCAGTTGATGAAGTTCTCAACCCCAATTTCTGTACAAGTGGCTGAATTTCGCCTTTCAGGCAGACCAGACAACTTTTGTCGTGTTGGATGAAAATTGATGGATTAGTGGGCTTGTTATACAACAAAAACCGCAAGATGAAAACTGCACATGCGCAAAAGAAAACTTGTTCTTTCAATCAACTAAATTTGACCAGTTAGTAGTGCTGACTAACAATAATCACAAATTATATTGGTCTGTGCGTGATTTAAACCAGGGTGAGATGACAGGACAAAACAAAAACAAGTTGTACAATGGTTGTTAGGTGAATGGCCACCTTTAGTCCGGATTTAAAATTTACATCAATGTTTCGTCAAGGTGCCCATACACTGCACGATTATCGTACGATAATCGAGGAAAATCCTGCGATAATCGTGCAGTGTATGGAAGGCGTGCGACCATTTCTACTGTACGGTCGCACGACTTGTATTTTGAGCATGTTCGAAAACCAGCCGAGAATCGTAGGATTTTTGGCTGGTTTTTAGCATGATCGTGAGATAACTGCCGCACGGGCCGCTGCCCGTTCAGCATTGCGGTCATCGGAAGCCCGCCCCTCAGCGAGTACGATATGCCTGTCCAAGATGGGCAGATCGTACGTTTGTTTACATTACTTTACAACCCTCGCAAGGCAAAAGTCTTGCAAGGGTTGTAAAGTGTATGGCCACCTTTTAAGTATTAACCCCACAGTATTAAGTCCC